TATCCTTGTACAACTATATTTACAGCAGCACTAATCACAACAGCCAAAAAGTGAAAACCACCCACGGGTTCATCAACAGATGAACAGATAAACAAATGTGGAATGTCCAAACAGTGGAATATTATACAGCAACCAAGGTCTGATACATGCCACAAGATGGATAAGCCTTGAAAACAATATGCTAAGTGTCACAAGCTAGACACAGAAGGACAAATATTGTCTGGTTCCACTTATAAGAAATATCTATCATAAGTAAACTCATAAAGACAGAATGTAGATTAGATGTTACCAGAGGCTGAAATGAGGGGTAAATAAGCAGTTACTGCACAAATGAACACACAATTTGCGTGTTCTAAACGGTTTTGAAAAGTGTTGGTAGATACACAACATTGCAAATTTACTTAATACTAGTGAACTATACATTTGAAAATAATTCAAATGGTAAATTTAAAATTGTAATACACACACACGCGCGTGCGCACACAAATAAAATAACCAAACTGATACTCTCCAAATTCCCAAATTCAAAATCTTTTGTCATACTATTTAAAATATCATGAACTTTTTTTTTTGGATGAAGTTAAAACATTTAATGTACTCTGGGTTTTTTTGTGTTTTTTTTTAAAATCCTCACTCAAGGATATTTTTCCATTTGTTTTCAGACAGAGTGGGAGGGAGAGAGAGAAACATTGATGTGAGAGGAACACATCAACTGGTTGCCTCCCATATGACCCAAACAGGGCCGGGGATGAACCACCACCGAGGTACATGCCCTTGAACAGAATCAAACCTGTGAATCATTGGTCCGCAAGCCGATGCTATAACCACTGCGCAACCACCCAGGGAAGTTAGTGTACTCTTTGTATAAGCACATACATAATAATGTTCATAGTAAGCCTCTTCTAGGATTATGATTTCCAGAACCTAACTTACCCATTCTACATAGAATAAATATTGATCAATAATCTAATTATTAGTTCCCTAAATATTACAAGATGGTAGAAGGGAAGATTCATTTTCCTGTAGAGAACAGAGTCATATTGTCAAATTAGGTCAAATTTGATTAGGTCAATCAAATTAGGACAAACTGTTTTTTTGTCAAGCAGGTAGAACAAAGCTGAGACATGAGTATCTCTGAAAATGAGCACAAAGGGGCTGAATGTTGGGACACATAAAAACAGAAACAGCCCGGCCTGTGTGGCTCAGTGGATGAGCATCAACCCATACACCAAAAGGTCACCAGTTCGATTCCTGGTCAGAGCACATGCCCAGGTTGTGAGCCCGATCCCCAGTGAGGGGCATGAAGGAGGTGGCCAATAAATGTTCTCTCTCATTGATGTTTCTATCACTCTCTCCCTCTCCCTTCCTCTCTCTCTAAAAATTAATAAAGAAAAAATATAAAGACAGAGACAAAGAGGTGGTCCACCCACCACTGGTCTGAGGCAACACACAGAGTCATCCAAATATATAAAAGATATGATAGTGAGTAAAAGAAGAAAAAGGATCAAGATGATACATGTGGCTCTGGTCTCATGAGACCTGTTGTTGCTGCAAATGTGTTGGACTCGCTGCTGGTACCTGTGGAAAAGAACCACAGCCCTGTCTGGTTTGGCTCAGTGGTTACCAGCATCAGCCCGTGGTCCAGAGAGACCGAGGTTCGGTTCCTGCTAAGGGCACATACCTTGGTTGTAGTTTGTCCCCGGCCCTGGTTGGAGTCATGGGGATGTAACCAGTCAAACAATGTGTCTCTCTCACATCAGTTTCTCTCTCTCTTCACTCCTCTCTCCCTCCCGCTCTAACTGAAGATAAATGCAAAAAAAAGTCCTTGGGTGAGGATTAAAAAAAAAAACACCATAGAGCCACTAGCCCAGATCATGAGGCCCAAATACATAAGGTCAATCATGGAAAATATAACCACAATTACAAACCTGGTGACTGTCTGGATAGAGCTCAACAGTATCCATAATTTATTCTCCTACTAAAGTTTCACTGTGCATTCGACCAGTTATATTGATAGGAACAAAGATATTCACCAAGAGGTGCACAATTCAGCAGAGGGAACAGCAGAAACCAATGCACTTCAGGGATCTCACTCTAAGCTTCATCCACCGAGAGAAATTGGGGGAAAGTCTAATTGCCTTGTAGACACCAAGGGAGGCACTGCTGAGGCAAACCCCTCTGGCCACTCTGTGGAAATAGTTTACATCCAGTCTCATTCAGGAAATATTTGACCTACAAGCTGCCATTGTAAGAGGGATCCTTCTAAAGAAAAGCACCAAGGAGCTGACTAAGAACAGCTAGTTGAAAATCAAGTCTGTGGGTCTCACTGTGTGTCCAGTAGGAAGTGTTAAGTTATAAAGATAAAGGACGAGCCCTAGCCAGTTTGGCTCAGTGGTTAGAGTGTCGGCCTGCAGTCCACAGAGACCTGGGTTCGGTTCCTGCTAAGGGCACGTACCTCGGTTGCAGTTTGTCCCCGGCCCTGGTTGGTCATGCGGGTGGCAGCTACTCGAAGTGTCCCTTTCATGTTGATGTTTCTCTCTCTCTCTTCCTCTCTCTCCTTCCCACTCTATCTGAACAAAAAATGGAAAAATGTCCTCCGGTGAGGATAAAAAAATAAAGATAAAAGCCGGTCGAGCTGGTGTGGCTCAGTGGATTGAGTGTCATCCCATGGGATGAGGTCCAGTTCTATTCCCAGTCAGGGCACATGCCACAATTGCGGGCTCGATCCCCACTGGGGGGTGAACAGGAGACAACTGATGGATGTTCCCTTCTCACGTCGATGCGTCTATCTCTTTTTCCCTTCCCCTCTAAAAAAATCAATAAAAACATATTAAAATTTTTTTAAAAGATAAAGAAGTTTCTGAGAATTCGCATACACCCAGCTGAGTAAAATGATCTCCACTTCCCACTTGGAAGGAGCCATCACATCAATATCCACAATACACAGATGAAAGCCAGGAGAATGTTAGTTCAAGAAAAAGAAATATTTGCCCTGGCTGGTTTGGCTCAGCGGTTAGAGCGTCGGCCTGCAGTCGAGAGAGACCCGGGTTTGGTTCCCGCTAGGGGCATGTACCTTGGTTGCAGTTTGTTCCCAGCCCTGGTTGGGTCGTGTGAGTGGCAGCCACTCGATGTGTCCCTTTCACGTCAATGTTTCTCTCTCTCCCTCCCTCCCTCCCACTCTATCTGAACAAAATATCCTCCGGTGAGGATAAAAAAAAGAAATATGTGATAAACTGTGCAGAAAACATAATTATCCTGAAAGCCATTTGCAGGGCACCCTTAAGATGAAGAGGGACTCAGGAATAAAATTTTCTTTGTGCAACCTCACTGTGAGAAAAGGGGGATGCACATGGCAAGACTTTCTGAGACACTAGGATCTGGGCCTAGAATCAATTCCTGGATGCCCACCCTAGCTGGGAAACTCAAAAGATGCCCCCTCCAATCCCAATTCAGGTTCAGTTTTCACCAGTGTAAACTGGGGATAGTGAGCAGACCTGCCTCAGAGGCTGCTGGAGGATGTTAACAGGCTCAAGAGCTAAAGAAGGGGCCAGTTTTAGTCTTCCTGAAGCTCTGGTTCCCCAGCCATCAGAAAACAAACAGGCACAACATGGCCTGAGCCACCCATGCATCAACATTGTGCCCCAGGGAAGGGGCAGCCATACTTCAATGGCCCATTGAAACCCTTCCCTTAGATTTTGCACACACCCTCCATGTGATTTCAGTGTTCTCAGGCAGGATTAAAGCATCTCTGCTGAAAACCTATATCCTTTAGTCATTTATAAAGTGATTTTGTTGCCCTGGCCAGTGTGAATCAGTAGGTTGAGCATTGTATCATACACAAGAGGTCACTGATTAGATTCCTGCTTAGGGCACATTCCAAGATTGCAGGCTTGATCCTAAGTGCGGGTTCTGCAGGAGGCAGCCAATCGATATTTCTCTCTTCTTCTCCCTTCCACTCTCAATAAAAACATCTTTTAGCCCGGCTGGTGTGGCTCAGTGGATGAGTACTGACCCATAAACCAAAAGGTCGCCAGTTGATGTTCTTTCTCATCAATGTTTCTATCTTACTCTCCCTGCTTCTCACTCTAAAAATCTATAAAGAGCCCTGGCCAGTTTGGCTCAGCGGTTAGAGCGTCGGCCTGCGGTACGGAGAGACCCGGGTTCGGTTCCCGCTAAGGGCACGTACCTCGGTTGTAGTTTGTCCCTGGCCCTGGTTGGTCGTGCGGGTGGCAGCCACTCGATGTGTTCCTTCACGTCGATGTTTCTCACTCTCTCTCCCTTCCCCTCTCTCCCTCCCACTCTATCTGTACAAAAAATGGAAAAATATCCTCGGGTGAGGATAAAAAAAAAAAAAAGAAAAAAAAAAAATCTATAAAGATAAAAAATTTTAAAAAAATTTTTAAGTAAATAAAAAACTTTTGATTTTGACTTTTGGCTTTTTTTGGAAGGTCAATAATTTTTTAAAAATTAAAAGAAAGTGGCCCTGGCCTGTTTGGCTCAGCGGTTAGAGTGTCGGCCTGCGGTCCCCAGAGAGACCCAGGTTTGGTTCCCGCTAAGAGCACGTACCTAGCCCTGGTTGGTCGTGCGGGTGGCGCCACTTGATGTGTCCCCTTTCGTGTACATGTTTCTCTCTCTCTCTCTCTCTTCCTCTCTCTCCCTCCCACTCTGTCTGAACAAAAAATGGAAAAATGTCCTCGAGTGAGAATTAAAAAAAATTAAAAGAAAGTGGAATTTGTGAACTGATAAAGTTGTAAATGTGAAAGATTGATGTTCTATTTATCTGACAAACAGAAGTGTCTAATTAGAAGTCAAAGTAGCAGGAAAAATAGTTTATACAGATTTGTATTTTAATGATTACGGGGCAACTAAAGATTTTAAATTACATGAGAAATATTGAACAGACTATGTTAACACATTAACACTTTAAATGAACCATGTGTATATATATATATATATTTTAATAAACCATTTTTCAGTGAACAGAGATAAATGGTATACATAGGTCAACAGACTGAAAACTCACATCTAATACAACCCATACAAACAGCCCTGGTGCAGCAGCTTAGCTGGTTCAAGGAGGTAGTCTTAGCTGAGGACAAGTGCTCTGGACTAACACTGTGTCAGGTCCATTCTGTGGTCAAACAGAAAGGAATGAATATCCCACCAAAAGCTCAGACTATTCATAATTTCCTCAAACAAAAGAACAGAAGTCAGTTTCCCCAAGCATAATGAAGTTGAATGACGTACAATGTTCAGGGAGTCAGGAAGTAGAGGTGAAATGGCTTCAGCCACAAAACTAACATCAATCTGGGAACAGACCTGGGTGGCATAGAAAGTGAAGTGCAGCTCTTTAAAGATGCTCTTGCACCTGAAATTGTTGAGAAACCTAGCAGAGTGCACGTTCTGCTAAATAGCTTTAAATTCAGGTAAATATTTCTCAAAGTCTCCTCCAGTGTAACTACACTGACGACATAAAAGATTCTTACATTTCAGGATTTTTTCCACTGTGAACTCTCTGGGGTCTAATGAGGTGGGATTTGCAGCTAAAATATTTCCCACTTTCACTACATTCATATGGTCTTTCTAGAGTATGAACACTATGATGTTGAAAACAGCCTGACCTCTGGTTAAACCATTTTTCCGTTCGCCACACCCCACATCCATACCGCTTTTCACCAGGATAAACTCGGTGGTGTTTAATAAGGTAGTGTTCTCTAAAGAATTTCCCACATGCAATGCATTCCTATGGTTTTTTTCCAGTATGAATTCTCTGGTGAAAAATGAGGTTAGATTTGTACCCAAAACACTTCCCACAAACAATGCACTTATTCGGCTTCTCTCCAGTGTGAACGCTCTGGTGTTGAGTGAAAGCAGAGTGGTGCCTGAAGAACTTCCCACAATCACTACACTCATAAGGCTTTTCTCCAGTGTGAACTCTCTGGTGTTGAGTGAGGTTAGAGCTTTGACTGAAGGACTTTCCACAATCACGACACTGGTATGGCTTTTCTCCAGTGTGAACTCTCCGGTGTTGAATGAGGTTAGAGCTTTCTCTAAAGGACTTCCCACAATCACTACACTCATAAGGCTTTTCTCCAGTGTGAACTCTCTGGTGTCTAAGGAAGTCAGATTTGTAGCAAAAAGATTTCCTACATTCAATACACCCATAAGGTCTTTCTTTACTCTGGAATTGAAGGAAGTTGGAGGTATTGCTAAAGGATTGCCCAGAATCACCCCATTCCTGAAGCTTTTCTTCAGAATGAAATCGACTGTGTTGAATAAGGTGGGAACGTTGTCTGAACGATTTCCTACACTTACTACATTCATATAGCTTTTCTGCAGTATGAACTCTCTGGTGTTTAATGAGGAGATATTTGTAGCTAAAGCATTTCCCACAATCACTACACTCATGTGGCTTTTCTCCAGTGTGAACTCTTTGGTGTTTCAAGAGGGTAGATCTACGGCTAAAGGAATTCCCACAATCACTACACTCAAATGGCTTTTCCCCAGTGTGAACTCTCTGGTGAATAAGGAAGTGAGACTTCCAGCTAAAAGATTTCCCACATTCACCACACTCAAAAGGATTTTTTCCAGAATGAATTCGGAAGTGTTGAATAAGATTTGGGTGTTCTCTGAAGCGTTTCCCACAAATGCTGCACTCATATGGTTTGCCTCCAGTGTGACCTCTCTGGTGTTCAATAAGGCCAGAGTTTTCACTGAAGGACTTCCCATAACCACTAAACTCATAAGACATTTCTTCAGTGTGAATTATTCTACGTTGAAAAGGGTCAAAGATTACTCTAAAGGGTTTTTCACATTTGGTACACTCATAAACTCCTTCTCTAGAACAAACATTTTGACGTTCAACAAGTTTCTGGTTGTGGCTCGCAGCTTTTTCACATTCACCTAACTGGAGACCACTTTTTCCACCATTGAAGGCCTGCCCACGCTCACTAAAACTGCATGGCTCTGCAGTGCTAAAAGTGGCCTGGTGCTGATGAAGACCTGAGATGGCTGGAAAGTCGTCCCCAACTTTCCCATAGGTGAAAGGCGCATCTGATGCATAGAAAGTACTTCTGGTCAGAAACGAGGCCCTGTCCATATCTATTATCCAGGGCTTCTGTCCACAGGCATCCCCCTGCTGCTGGTACAAGTTTGCACTGAAACAGAAGCCTCTCACACGTGCTTTCTGTTCAAGGTTTGTGGCTGGGAAATCAGTCAGGTGCAAAATATCTTTCAACACTGAGACACACCGCTCACAGGGATGGGTCTTCTGGGTGGCTGGAGCAGTCTTAGAATCTTTGACCTGTGACTCTCCTCCAACAGATACACTCTGTTTAGAAGGGGTCTTGTCATCTTCTGTTTTATGCCAACAACCTGAAAGCAAAGAAATGCTGAGGAAATGCTTGTGGACTCTGGTGTGAGGGGCAAGTCCCTTTACAAAGAAGTTAGAGATAATTCGTTAATTCCATGGGATTGTCTAAAAGAAAAGGACCGAGAGACCGACTGAAAAAGGGACTGCTGCCCTGGGTGGTTTTTCTCAGTGGTTAGAGCATCAGCCTACGGTCCAGAGAGACCGGGGTTTGGTTCTCGCTAAGGGCGCATACCTTGGTTGCAGTTTGTCCCCGGCCCTGGTTGGGTCGTGCGGGTGGCAAACACTCAATGTGTCCCTTTCACATCAATGTTTCATCTCTCTGTCTCTTCCTCACTCTCCCTCCCACTCTAGCTGAACAAAAAATGGAAAAAATAAATAAATAAATGTCCTTGGGTGAGGAGAAAAAAAAAATTTTTTTAAAGGAAAGTTTTTTAAAAAAGGACTGCTGTGCTATACTGGACCTCTGAAGATCACAAAAAGGGGAAGCTTCACCAAAAAAAACACAAAGATGGCTACATGGAACAGAAGCAGGATGTCCACTCATGCTCTCCTAACAACATTCAGCAGGGCTTGTTGGCTGGTGACATGGGTAAGCTGTGCAAAGACTGATTCTGTCCTTTTTCTAGTAAAATTAAATGAAGGAGTAGCTGGTGTTTGAAGACTACTTAAGGACATATGCTAATCTCATATCAGGTACGCAGGCCAATGCTGGAGAAAACTTCAGAGGGAGCAGTACAAAACAACAGGTGGTGTAAGGAGGCCACACACATGAAGGTACCCACAAGCCGTGGAGTCAGAGATGAAACAAGAAGTTAGAGGGTATCAGGCACAGATAAGAAAAGGTAGTAATGAGGTGTCCAGTGGCACTTGCACCAAAACTCGATTGGACACAGAGAGGGAGGTTCCTGGTAGGATCTCAACACAGCCTTTATGTCATGCCTTCCACAGCTGTCACTCTCCAGGGCCAGGCCTCCTCTGAAACCAGCTTGTATGTCTACCCTGTGAAAAAACAGGGTCCTCCTTGCACCCACTATTGTACAACTACTCAGAACCTGAATGATCTAAACCTTAAGGAAAGACATCGGAGGTGAGCAGCAGCACTGGCCCAGCACGCCCGGCTGACAATAGTGTGAAGGGGAGTCCACAAAGCTCAGCACTGGCAACCAGAGCAAGTATGACAGGAAAGGGAGAAATTGGCAGAGCTTGTGGCCTAACTGTGGGACAGAAGACACCTATGGAGAAAAAAAGAGTAGGCAGAACATCACCTCAGAAATCTAGGAATGGTGTGAAGGTCTTACCCACGGACGCTACAAGTGCAAAGATTTCCAGCATCACATCGCAGTACAGAAGTCTCTGAGCCTCATCAAGGAGCCCCCACTCCTCCCGGGAGAAGACAATGGCCACGTCCTCAAAGTGCATATCCTGTCACAATGGAGACAGTTTATTCCACGATCAGCTTATCTCCTAGGATTCTAAGTTCAAAATACCACCCCCTCCAAATTCCTCTGTTTCTTCTAGTCCCCACATCAAAGATTCCCAGCCTTGGTATTGCTGGAGACACTCACTGATATTCTCATTGACTCTGTGTCTTCTTCCCACAACAATAGGCAGATGGATGATACCTGAGCTCTGGGCCTGGTGGGTAGGACAAACTGCCTTTTGTCTATTAATACAGTGAGTGTCGCTAACGCTGCCGAGCGAGAGAAGTTGGCCATGAACAGAATGTGAATGACTTGACATTGATTTTGTCAGGTAATATCCCTGTTGTCCCACTGTCTCTCCAAGACACAAAAAAACATAGCATCACCCTTCACCTTAGAAACCTATCCCAGGGCCCTGAGGCCATCCATTAACACTAACCTCTGCACATAATTATCTGAACCACAGTGCTCTCACACAGCAACATTCCCAGAGGCACAACCATAAAAGTAAAGCAGCTGTGCCATGACAAGGACACTATGTTCCTTGATCAGCTTCTTTCCCAGGATTCCAATGTTATATCTCCTTAGTCGATCCATTGCTTACTCATCTCACTTCTCCATTCCAGTGGAAATTTTCAAGTCTATATGGCCCTGATCTTTGCTGTCTAATCAAGGTCCTATTCATCACTGTAACACCCCTTAACAACAATAAAGAGGTGGGCGAATAAATGAAATCTATGATCTGGACCTGGCGTGAAGCACCCCAACACGTCCTCTCTTGAGGCATTTTGTCTAAAATCCCCCATGTCGCATCATCCAGAAAACGACCAGAAATGGACTCAGCTGCATTCACTCTTCAGTAAATGCAAGAGCCTTTGAGAAAATGAATTCACACAGTCTCCAAATGCACAACACTCTTCCTGCCACATCTCTCTCACACCAGCACTCCCACAGTCCCAGCCTCCTCCTGCCCTGCACCACAGTCATCAACTTGGCCTCTCTACTCACTTCTCAGCATACGTGGTCCAGAGAATGCTGGACACATTCAAACACGGTCAAGTACAATGCTGACTGATTTTTCACTCACATAAGCGGCCTTCATTGAGTTCTGATATGAAGGCCTCCATCCTTGACTGTTCCTTCAATTTCAGCCATTGAGAAACACATAGATCTCAAATACCCACAGCCCTCCTCCACTGGTGCTGCACTTGAAGTCCCTTAATCAGTCACAGCCTTTCTCTCTCCACCTCATCCTCACTCAAGGCCCAGCCCCAGGTGCGCTCTACCCCATGCTCAGTGAGTCTTCCAGATGACCATTTAGCCCATACGCTAATTTGTCTCCCTGACTACAACACCCGACGCCACACCAAGGCTCATAACAACATCCTGGTGAGTCTTTAGAGTAGTGAATACCCACCAGCGCCTCTCATCTTGTGTGTATTAGTTGTAGGCCTCCAATCCATCCCAAGCCCTCTAATGGCTGAATACCTTGGCAGCATGCCAAAACTCTCTTGCCCACCCTCTATGAACACTTCTGTTGTACCCTATGTTGTGACACGCCACTCCCAAAACCAGAGGCAGTTCCAGGAATGTAGTCTTGTCCTAGGACAGTATTTTTCTCTAACAAAGGTCAGCCTTCACCTTAATTGAGTCTGTGTGTTGTCTTCCTGCATCTAGATAAAAATTCCTGCCCTGACCGGTTTGGCTCAGCGGTTAGTGTTGGCCTGCTGTCCAGAGACCTGGGTTCGGTTCGCGCTAAGGGCCTGTACCTTGATTGCAGTTTGTCTCCAGCCCTGGTTGGTCGAGCGGGTGGCAGCCACTCGATGTGTCCCTTTCATGTCGATGTTTCTCTCTCTCTCTTCCTCTCTCTCCCTCCCACTCTATCTGAACAAAAAGCGGAAAAATGTCCTCGGGTGAGGATAAAAAAAAAATTAATTAAAAAAAATTCCTGATAACATGCCTTTGGAATAACTAAGAACTGTCCTCTTTTGCATACTCCTCAAAGCAACAACCTCACCACAGCAGAGACCACAAATCTCCACGTTTTTATTATCTTGTTAACTGTTTACTGTTAACTTCCCTGCTTGGGCCTAAGTGAAAAAAGTATGTGGCTATAATTTCATTTCTTATCCCATCCCACAGGATTTCCACCTTTGCCTTCTCCTCCCTCCCTCCCTCATTACATCTACTCTTTTGATTGTAACGTATGAAATAAGGTGTGAAACTGCCATTTTCCAGAGCATTTCCTCAATCCCTTGAGATTGTGTTTCCCATTAGTTGTAGTCAGTTTTGCAAAAATAAACTCATAAAACTTCTCACACGTTTGGACGTTTCTTACATTGACACTGGGCTTGGTGTCTGCTTCAGGTCCCCAGGCCCAGGGCTGGTAGAGTTGCACAACAGCCCCAGCGCACCTCTATCTCAGAGACCATAAGGGCCTGTGGCCCTGCCCAGGCCAGTGTGGGTCAGCTGGTTGGAGCATCAGCCCCTACAGCGAACGGTAGCAGGTTGGACTCAAGTCACCGCAAACACCCAGGTTTCCTGTTCAGTCTGGGGTCGGGGCACATACAGCAAGCAGGCAACCAATGGATGTTTCTCTCTCACCCGCCAGGGACGTTGTCTTTTGCAGGACCTCACCTCCTGGGTCTAACTGCGCTCCTCTCCCTTCCAGTATGGTCTCCGTCTGAGCAGTTCTGGGAAAACGTTAGAAGCGGACCTCAGTGTCCCTCCTGTTCACAAACCCTGCAAGGCCCCCGCGGACTTAGAATGAAAGCAAAACTCCTCAGGCACAACTTCCTTCACCTCCTCCGTGGCTTTTAGACACAAAACAGGGCCCGGGTTTCCGGATCCTCCCGGCTCGGCCGCGCGTTCGCGTGTTTACGCAGCAGGCCCGCTGCCCGTCACCCTGTCCCACCCTCGTCACACCGTGTCACGCACGAGCGCCTCACATCAGGACGCCGGGCCCGGGCTGCAGGGCTCGGGGCGGGGGGCGGGGAGGCCAGGAGGCGGGGAGGTCAGGGGGCGGGGAAGCCCGGAGGACGCGCTCTCACCTCAGCCGGGAGCTTCAGCGCGGCCGCCGCCATCAGTCTCTGCGGGCGGAGCGGAGTCTGCGAGGCTCGAAGGTCCGGAACCCGGCCAAGTGGCCTCAACAAGCCTCAGACCCGCCTCTGCACAGCGGGGCGACTCCTCCGGTCCCTCTCCGATGTCGGCCACACACTCCGGCGCCCCTGACTAGGCGAACAGAGTTCTAAGGCACCGGCACGAGGAGGCCGGAAGTCCCGCCCTCACAGGATGCGCCGGTGCGGAGATGCCCTTTTACTGGCTTTCACGTCTCAACTCCGCCCCCAGCCAAGTGTGGGTGCAGTGCTTTCTGGGTAATGTAGTTTCCGCACCCACCCAGCGGGCATCAGCGTTCCTATCAAAGTCCTTCCTGGATCAGGGTGTGTCGCTCTGGGAGTGGCGCTGGGGAATGAAAATTTTGCGTTTCAGGGCCGGTTTGCAGGTTTCTGGGGAGTTTTGTCTGCAACTGATCACGTGTTTGGAGGCATTATTTTTAAGTTCTATGAAGTTCAGAATGCTCCCCGAGATAAAAAGTGTTATTTCAATAATTTGCAAAGATTACAGATCCAAATGGACCTATACTCATTTAGACACAAAATACATTCACTCTGAGCTGGAATGTGCTAACCATTTTCTGCTAATTCAACTGCATGGAGTCGGAAGCATTAGTATATTTGTAAGTCTCTATATGTTCAGTGTGGGTCTTGACTTGGAAGATAAAGAGGGATTTAGGACACTCTCAAGAACAAGGAGTAATCACTGCCTCTGGTTTCCACAGAGAACATCTCTCCTGTCTGTATCCTCACTGATGGTGTCCAGTCAAAGAACAACATTGATTATCCATTTAGTATTCCCCACTCTATATTCTAACATATATTCAGTTTCTTTAAGAATGTGACAAATTTCTAAAACTGAGAACATCTTATCAAATTCGGTTTGTGTATGGAATGCTGATTACTGTTTTCTCAGGCAGAACAGATATGTAAAAGGGGCATCCAAATCCCATCTTCTTATCTTGTCTTGCAGAAAATAGATTATCACCTCTCTGGTGATTGCTAGGACTCCTGTGCATAGAAATTTATGTCAGAAAAAAATGTAGTGAAATGCAATCTACAGAAGGCTGTTAATAATGATTGTTACAGGAGACTTCCAGGCTAAATGGTGGCTCTTGCCTTCTCCTACGACCACATCAAAATTACAACTAAAGTATAGAACAGCCATCATTCGGAACCACCTGACATTGAGCTGAATGGAAGTCCTACAACTACGAAATTAAAGAAGAGACCACATCAAGACTGGTAAGAGAGGCAGAGACTCAGATCAGCTGGTCCCATGACCACGTGTGGTGGGTAAAAATCAGGAGGACGCTTCAGCTGGGAAGGTCCTCCTTGAGGAGTGAGGGGTCCCCGTCCCACACCAGGCTCCCAGCTCAAGGTTCCAGTGCCAGGAAGAGAAGTCCCTATTACTTCTGGCTGTAAAACCAACAGGAACTGAGGCAGAGGGAGGCTGAGGCCTCTAGAGCCCCAGGCAGCTCCTCTTAAAGGGCCCGAGCAGGGACTTACTCAGACGCTCTCCTTCTGGGCTCTAGCGTTGAAGAGGCAGCTTGAAAGACACCAGAGACATAGGGGGAAGAACTGAATTGTTCGGCATTGGGGCAAGAGCTGGAGGGGCAGCTTTCTCCTGGACAGATTTGCTGGGGAGGCCTTTGTTCTGTTGGCGAGCCCTTCCCTGGGACAGCAGAAGGCAGCCATATCTGGGACTCCAGCAACCTGACTGACACTTTGCCCCGCCATAGTGATTCCCTGAAGCCCACCCAAGCTATGTCCAGTGGCTTTACCATATAGGATTGGCCTGTCTTGGATTTACCATATAGGATTGGCCTGCTTCAGATTTTCCTGACATCTCTCAAACAAGCAGTGAGCCCTATAACTCTCGTTAAGT